ATAATTGATATTTTACTTTTATTGCATTTTTTCTTATATTTTTATTGACATTGTTCCTTCTGTCTAACGTCTACGTAAAATTACTGCCTCCCAGGAGCCATCAGTGACAGTACTAGTGGTAAGTAGTAGATTTGAAAATTTGTTCCCACTTTATAAAATGGAGACTTGCTGCTCTGGGCATTTGAAGATACAGAGCAGAGAAAAAGAATTAAAACAGAGAAAGTATTAGGGAGATAAAGTAGCTTTGTTTTCTTCTGAGAGAAATAGTGATAGTCCTATAAAATTTAACTCCGGCATTTCTTTGTGGTGGTGGAGAGGATCTGGATGACTTATCAGTGCGAGTGAAGTATTAAAGTTATCCACTATTATTGTGTGTTTGTTTGTTCATAAATTTTAAGAAACAGGATCCGTCAATATTCAGTGGGTATAAATTTAACAGTGGTATAGCTTCTTTATGTATTTTTCCCTTTATCAATATTAGATGACTTTCTTTGTCTTTTGGTCTGAATGTTATACCTACTCCTGCTGCTTTCATACTTTATTGACTTGGAATATCTTTTTCCATTCCTTTAAACAGTGTGTCTTTCTAGAGGGGTGATTTTTTTCTAGGCAAGAAAGAATTGTATCTTGTTTGGTAACTCAATACAACAGTCTGTTTTTTAAGTTGGGGAATGGAGACTATTAATACTAAAAAGTTATTATTGAAAAGTTTATGAGAATTCCTGCCATCTTGTTGTTTCATAATGTTTTATAGTCACCATTTGCTTATCTACTCTTCTGGTGAGATTTATTCTTTCTCATATTCCCATAGTTGTGATTATCTCCTATCCAGTTAGGTATTTCCTGCAGTGCTGGCTTCTTGGACATAAATACATTTAATTTTGCTTATTGCAGGAGGCTTTAAGTTATCTTTTAATTATAAAAGGGAGTTTTGCTGTATAGAGTAATCTGGGTTGCTAGCTATTTACTTTGAAGTACACTGTTCTATGTTCTCATGGATTTTAGACCTTTTCTGACATCTGCTGTTACTCTGGTTGATTTTATATAGGACTTGGCATTTCTCTATTGTAGTTTTCCATATTCTGGATATCTAAATGTTTCTAATTATGTCTCTTTGGTGTGCTGCTATTATTTAAATGAATATGTTTTCTGTACCTTTAGCTTTGACCACTTATGTCTGTGAATCATAGGCTTGGTCTTTTAATAGTGTTTCAGTAGTCATTTATGTTCTGTTTCTATTCTATTTTGTTTCCCTTTATTCTTGTCTGAATTTTCTAATATATCTACCTTGTTTTCAAGCTCTGATGTCTTGTGCTTTACTAGACTTAGTGTACTGATACTAATTTTAACTGAGTTTTTCATTTCCAGAATTTTAAATTTGACTTTTTTTCTTTTAGGACTTTCATATCTTTATTGAAGTCCTCTTTCATAACCTGCATTGTCTTCCTTATTTTATTCCACTTTTTATTTGTATTCTCTTGGAATTCAAGTTTCATCGGTATTCCCTTTAATTTCATTGATCATGCTTAAAAACTTTCAAAGTCTTGAGGGTTGCCTCAGTTTAACTATCATTAGAACCCATTATTGTAGAGTTGCTGGTTTCAAGGAACCTCATTGCTTTTTTTCATATTTCTTGTGTTTCTGAAAAAGATTTGTATACCTGAGGCACAGTGGTTGGCTAGAAGTTTTAATCATTTATATTCTTTCAGTTGTATTATTCTCATTATTCAGGCAGGACTTAATAATCATTGAGGCATTATTTCTCAGCACTGGTGTGGGAATTTACCTTAGTCAAACACTGATCCATGTGTTCAGGTCACAGGTTTCTATCTCCAGCACCACTCAGAGAGAAGTATTTCCTACTGTTCAGGCTGTAGAGTGTTCGGGTTGAGGACTGTCCTGGTCAAAGTTCAGTTGTCAGTTGTCAGCCTGTTAGTCAGGTAGGTTCCCAATTGCTCCATAGCCCTCAAGTTAGTACCCACACAAGGCAGCAAGCATCTAAAACTAGTGGTGATTTCCAAATGCACCAGAGAATAAAGGAAGAAAACAAGGTACTGAGTTCTGCACGGGGGGAAGGGGGGAGGAAAATCATAAGAATCTGGCATTCTACCTACCAGTCTCAGTGCATTTAGATCTCATCTAGCAATTAATCACCCTGTGGGAGGGAAGAAGGTGAGGATATTGAGCTGTCTGCAGGACTCTTTTTCTACCCAGCAACAAACCCCATGCAGCAGAAAGGCAGCTTCAGAAAGTGAGCAATATGCCTGCCCTAGGTTACAGCTCTGTTTCCACAGTGACTTAGCAATGGAGCTCATTCTTGCCACAGAGGGTGGCCTAGTGACCATTCTTCTCTTCACTGCCTGAAGTATTGTTTAAACTCTTTAGCAGGTCCATGTCTAAAACATACTCTCTCTATAAACACCTGTTATAACTTTCTCTTATTCAAACACTCTGAAAGAATATCTCCAGGTTTCCTGAGCTGTGAGTGTATCCCTATTTTTGCCAATTTTTGCATTCTTGAACCAAGCTCCAAGAACAGTTTAGTCTTAAATAATAGTCACTGTCTTAAGATGGCACCTGGCTATATAGCACTCTAAATTATGAGAGTAACAAGTCCCCATTGTCTCCAATGCTGTTCCGCCACCAGGGGGAGTCACTGTCCTACTAAAGTCCTCCACTGGCTAAGGCTTGAGAGCCATGAACTAACCCTGCAGCTAGATCTCTGGGCTGTTGTCACCCTCTGCCCCCTCCCCAAACACCTGCCCAAATACTCCTGAGAAGCTAGAGTTGCATGTTTCCTACTTTTTTCTGTATAGTCTTCCTATTTGTCAGTGATTTCCTGTTGTCTTTTTATCTCTTTCATAATTTCCAATGTCCTTTCTTTCATTTGTTCTTTCTCTTTTTTTATTTTTATTTTTTTAGTCTTTTTTGCGGGGGGCAGGTTTTGGGACCTGAACTCTGGGCCTGGGTGCTGGCTGTCGCTCAGCTCTTCAGCTCAAGTCTAGCACTCTACCACTTGAGCCACAGTGCCACTTCTGGCTTTTTCTGCTTATGTGGTGCTGAGGAATCGAACCCAGGGCCTCATGCGTGCAAGGCAAGCACTCTACCACTGAGCCACCTTCTCAGCCCCTGTTCTTTCTCTTTGTTTGGAATGAAATCTCGAGTCTTCTCATTCATGATGTTAATTGGAGAAATCTTCTAATCCACCATCTTGCCTGCAACTCAAATCTTTCCTCCTGTTGTTAAGTCAGTCATTCTGTCACGGTTACAAGATAGATAACTAGCACACTCTGTAGTTATCCTTTTGCTTCATGTCTTTAGAAAACAATCAATAACACAAAGTCTCACTTCAGAGTAATAAGATTTATTTTAGGCAATGAATTAAAGCATACAAAGTAATATTTGTCATGTTAAGTATCAGTTACCATTAAGTGGTGGTCATTAGACATACTTACATTATTATTTCTAATAAGAAAGTAAATTTACAGAACCATACCAATGGCCTTGATTTAAGATAATCTGAGAAACTTGTGTGGAAGAAGAGTTAATAAAGATATGTGGGTAGTTCTTTTTAAAAAATGATTATACTTTACAGTTTCAGAAATTGCATCCTTAATTGATTTTAATAACCACAGAAGGACAAGAAATCAGATTACACTCTCAAGTAGGACGGCAGAAGTCTTTGAAGTATGAAGCTTATCATTCCAACCACCCACTTCTGTTGTTCAGGCAGCATCTGCACACACCCTTTTAACAGCTGTCATCCTGATACCCTAAGGTGCTGAACTGAGGCTCAAGACTACCAATGGCACATATCATTGTCATGTAGAAACAAACTACTATTCTGGTCCTTTCTCAGCCAGGGGTGGCGGGTATGTTTCTGGGTGTTCTTCTTCTGCCAATCTCCTTTCCTCCACTTTCTGAGACGTCTTCATCTCCACCTTCAGGCATTCTCCTTCATTTTTCTCCTTTCTGTGCTCAGGTCCCTGAAAGAGGAGAGGAAAGGGTAGACATGCACAGAGTAGTTACTCATTCTCTATGTTTCTCTCAACAATGAGATGTGAAAAAGTTCTGATCATGTTGCCAATGTCCGAAGCTTACTTCTGGAAATAATTAGCATAAACTAAATCTATTGTTTTTCTAAAGATTTTTGTCATACAGGGAAAATAGAAGAATTGGGCATGACATCCACTAGAAAAGAAGCTCAGCCCATACATGACTGTGACTATCCATTTTTGATGTACCAAGGGATGTGATTCCACAGTACAATAAAATTAATAGTCTCCTGGAGCTTTGTGATTTAGAAAATGAGGTCACACATGCATTATTTTAAGCTCCTTATTGAATTATATAAATACTTTGATTTGCACTAAATTTTAATGTGTGAATTGCGTGAGGAGTGAAATGTAGACCAGATTGGCATTCCCCACCAAGTTGATTAGGATGTAGATGGGGAAGGATGTCCACATATATTCTCTGAGTTTATTAAACACACACTGTTTTCATAGCACCAGGAGACACATCACTAAACAGACTCTACCTTCTAGATACTCCAACTAGGTTGATAGAGACAGAGACCATCAATAATAAGCACCAAAAGACCTAAGAAAGTAACTGATGGTAATTAAGGTTGCTGATAACTATACGAGAATAGTTCATACATAACTATTTAGTTTTGATATTCAGAAGTGATTTTTAAGGGAATTACATAGCAAAAAAATGGCATTTCTAAATGTGGTGGTCATATCTATCATATCTATGTACATTTCTATTTTGAAGTACCAAAGTAACTTAAAAAAATCTCTATTCCTCCACCTCATTTCAACTCCTCTGAGTGCCTATATGACAACGGAAAGTTTGGGAGGAATCTTAGTGCAATGGTATATTACTCTAGAATATAAATTGTGTGTGTGTGTGTGTGTGTGTGTGTTTTAACCCAGATTTCATTTCTTTCTGCAATAGTTCATTTGCTAGATTCGCAAAGCAAAACAATGAATCTGGGAAATGTATTAAGAGAAACTTCAAAATTTGTAACAAACCTGTAAATGTGCTGCCAAACTTTTAATAAACTCATCTCTTGTATTCAACGGATCAACAGTCATGAATGCCTTTTGTGAGTAGGGTGTGTGTTCTGACCATGGGGCTCACACTCAGGGTTTTAGCCACTGATCCTGAGTTTTTGTGCTCAAGATTAGCACTCTACCACATTTGGTGTTTAGTTGGAGATTAAACATCTCACATACTTTCCTGCCTGGGCTAGATTTGGACTGTGAGCTCAGATTTCAGCCTCACTGGTGTGAGTCACCAGTGCCTAGCCATGACTGTCTTTAATAATTATAAGGAAAAATACCGTGATAATTATTTCCAACTTGGGTTTGCCTTATTGACAATAAAGACTACCTAAGAAATCATTATCAATACTGATATGAAATATAGTTTCTTGTTTCATTACTTGGAAACAAAATAAGTCAGTTGAAAATGAAACAATTTGGCTAGGTGGGATGGTATATGCTACAACCCTACGGAAGGAAAACTCAGAGTCTAGGCCAAATAATAAGTTCTAAGCACCCCTGCACCTCAAATTGGTAATACAGTCAGCCCTCCATGCATGGGTTCTGCACCTGTGAATTCAACTAACAGAAAAATCAGAGCTATTCATTCAGAAAAAAGTGTTTATAATAAAAATGTACAGACTTATTTCTCATCACTAATCCCTAAACAATATATACAATAACCATTTGCATAACATTCACTTTATATTAACCATTAGAAATATTTTAAAGATGACAAAGTATTTGGAGGCATGTCTCTAGCTTATATGGACCTTTTACAGAAAAGATTTGAATCCACGAATTTTAGCATCCTGATATGGGTTGCTAACTTTAAGAATACTTCACCTACATTTTTTTGTTTGTTTGTTTGTTTGTTTTGGTGGGTCATGGGACCTCGACTCTGGGCCTGGGCACTGTCCCTCAGCTCTTCAGCTCAAGGCTAGCACTCTGCCACTTGAGCCATAGCACCACTTCTAGTTTTTTGGTAGTTTATTGGAGATTAGAGTCTCATAGACCTCCCTGCCGGGGCTGTGATCCACAGATCTCAGCCTCCTGAGTAGCTAGGATTATAGGCATGAGCCACTGGTGTCCAGTTATATTTTTTAATTTTCTGACAAATGCTATTTTTTAATGTGTAGGAAAGTGTAGATTATTAACTAGGAAAGAATTTTAAGAGAATTTGTATTGTTGAAATTTTTATTCTGCATTAAGGCACATTTTAATAAAATCTTTAAAAATTGACATAAAAATATTTTAAAGTAATTATAACAAATTGAGTGTTATTTTTAAAACACTCATTTCTAGTTATGAATAAAGAAGTCAGTTCTGTCCTTAAGCATCAGTATGATAAAAAAAACAACTTTGTGTTTCCTTTCCTACAATAACAAATTTTCAACAGTACATACCAAAGTGACAGAATGTTTGGCTTTAAAGTACAGTTGCTGTTCAAAGGACTCTGAAAATTCCTGAATTTGGGAGTGAGATTGTTTTTTTGATTCCAGTGTTTCCCTGGATGACCCATCCATTGAGTATTTTCTGTAATACCGCAAATGAGGATGGCTTTGGGATTTCTGGTCCTCATGAGAGTGCCTTCTAGGGTGGTTGTCAGATGATGTAAATTTGGGAAGCCCAGGAAACTGGAAATACAGAAAAAAATTATGAAATAGTTTTTACAATAAGAGAATGCAGGCAGAATGCTCATACAACACTAACTATGCAAATTGCACACTTAAGTGACATTTAATCTTATCAACATCAACTAATTATAATATTAAATAGGGTATCTCAAGACTAGCTTTATTGCTTGCTACTTGGCCAATCCTATTGCTTCTGGCACAATGCTTGGCACAGAGTAGATGCTCAATAATGTGTTAAATGTTCCATCTCTATGTTTTCAAGTGAATTATGAGACTAATAAAGACAAATTGAAAAGCCCATTCAAAGTGTCCAAGAAGCTTCCAGAAGTAACTCTGATCTTTGGAGTCCCTCTCCATGAAGAGTCTATGTCACTTTCCCTTCTTTTCTTTTCTTTTTTAAAGCTTTCTCTATCCACTTTAAACACTTAAACAGACAAGAAGAAATCCTTCCCATGCATGTAATATTATCAAATATAGATTATCAATAGATTGAGAAAAGGAAGTTATTTAAATTGAATCTGTTGGGAAACAAAAAGAGATAAAGGTAAGATTAAATGCTTCTTTGAAGTTAATTTCATTAATCTCAAAGCAGAAAATAAAAATCATAAACCAAATTATTCTCAGATTTCTAAATTAAAGAAAAGTGTATAAGTAATGATTCATTTTACAAATACATCATATTATATAAACAGAGAACAAAGAATCAAATGTCCTGTTTTTCAGGACTCTGCTTTTATCACCTATGAGTCCTGATTTGTGCTATGTGTTATTTCTTTCTCTGCTTAACTCAGAATGTAACTTTTATTTTATGGTTTCTATCCCTAAACTAACACATTCCTAACACAGGAATGGCAGTCTGATAGCTACAATTTTTTATGTTGATATGGAAAATCCAGTAGGAATGCAAACTAGTGCAACCACTCTGAAAGGCAGTGTGGAGATTACTCAAAAAAAACTAAGATAGAACTACAGTAAGCCAGTAATCCCCTTCTTGGCATCTACCCATAACATTACAAGTCAGCATACAGCAAAGACACATCCATGCTCAGTCCATACTTTTCACATTAGCCAAATCATGGAGATAGCCCAGATCAAGATCATGTGATATGTGTGTACATATTCTATTAGAATAAATATATGCATATTCTATTAGAAAGAATAACATATAATTTTCAGAGGAATAGATGGATATTGAAAAAATACAATGTTAAATGAAGTCAGTCAGTCTCAGATAAATGGTGCATACTTTCTCTCATGAAAACATATGGAGAACATTTGGATGGCCTGTGAAGCAGGTGCCTAGCCACTGTCTGACTTTCGTGTTTTATGTGGCTGCATTCTCATTACCTACCAAAGGGGCTCAAAATACTTGTGCCACGAATGAAAATGGCTATCTGAGATAAAAAAGAAAACATTCACAAGGTTATATGCATGTACACACAAAAACAAATTTACTAAAGGATAGTATACTTAGGGGAGGAGTCCAATGGTGTAATTCCTCTGAACAATTAATGAACCATTCAACAAAATAAACACCAAGATCTGAAACCTGTTCTGTTGAGGATGAGAAGGATGGTCACAAAAGGAGAGTACAGGAATGGAGGGAGGAAGGCTGAACAGATGCAATGTTTATATCCATTTTTTTACATAATATAAAAATAAAGTACATAACTTGAGGGTAGGGATGGGAAGGAGAATGATGGGACAGGGATGGAAATGTTGACATTGATTAAGATTCGTTGCACTTATGACTTGACTCATGCAATTGCAACCCCTTCATACAAGTATTTAATAAGAAAAATGTTGAAATGCCCTGTGTGGGGTTGAAGGCATGGCTCCATTGGTAGAGTGTTGGGTAATGAGCAAAAGTGTCAGGTACCTGGTTGGAATCCCAATCTTGGAACTTCACCCCCACTTCCCAAAAAAGACTTAGGAAGGAACACGCATGAAAAGATGTTACAGGAAGACCAAGCAGAAATCTGAACACAGTAAAGCTCTTGTTTCCCAATAGTACAAGGTAAGCCACATTGGAGGTTAATGTTAACCCTCTAAGTGTTTTAGGATGGAGTGTTTGAGCTTTAAAAATCTAATGTAATTTACTCAAGAAACTCATTTTGTAAACCATGGTTCTTCCTTTGTTTTCACATCTCCTGTATTGCAATAAATGATATGCCACAGTTTTTCTCTCTGTAGATTTATGCCTGTCTTTCACATCTGGAAACTGGCAGCCAGTCATACTCCTGGTCCGCACATTGTAGATACCTCACTAGGCATGCAACATTTAATTATATTGAAGTTAAATGAGGGCATTGCCAGCAGGTATGATGTTGGTTTTTTTTACAACAGAATCATGGAAAGTTAGAGGTGAAAGGCTGATCAAAGCATTGAATCCACCTCTTCTTCTTCACTTAAGAAAATGGAAATGAAGAGAGGCTGACATTCACCCTCCATCCCTGGATGTCATTTGGTAACTGATCTATTTCAAACCGTTTGAACCAGAGAATCTCCTTCTAGCTATTGACCTCTAACAATGAAGAGGTTCCCCTTCACACTTTAATTCCCCTGCACACTTTAATAGATCTCCCAAGAATTATCCATCTGGGAATTCTGGGACCTCAAATAAAACTATGCATCTACTCTAGAATGTTCTTGATGCTGGGGTTGGCAGAAGCAAAGGGTGAGACAGTCTTTGGCATCTGGAATTCGCAGTGCCTTGTGAAAAAAAACAAACCCATGTTGTTACTAGTGTGTAACTGTGCTATGGAGGCCATGGAGGTACTGTAGAACCTTCCTGCACCACAGCTGAGAGAATGCTCAGTAGCTCCTGTTGAGCCCACATCTGACCAGCCCCACTCACTGCCCTCCCTGGAGCTTGCTGTTCCTGTCTTGTTCCCCAGACACCTGGTACTCTGCCTGCCATGTGGTCACAGGGCTGGGACACGAGAATTCTGGCACCTTCTCTCATTAGGAAATCAAGCCATCAAAGGTTATGATTTATTATGTATAATCACTGAGTTTATAGAGATCCACCCAACAGTGAAGCTACCTTCAGGATTGCAATTAGACTAACAGAAATCATACAATGACACACAACAAAGCATACAAACACATGCATGCACACACGCATACCTGCTAACCACGACATCACACAAACTAGAACACCAGGTTTCCTTTATCTTGAGCTCTGTCATCCAAGCTTATCAGGACCCATGAATAGTAGTTAAAGATATCTTAGATGACTAAAATGAAGAAAATATTACCTATCAGAAGCCTTAAAGAACAAGACAAGAGGGATTTTGTAAATATGATAAAAGGTCTGAAAGTGCTCCTTTTTAACTAAAGAACTTTTTAACGACCATTTCTAAGAGAGTTCCCCTCCTCTATGGCAGCATTCCCCGGGGTAGATAATAGTAACTCACTGGGCAAGGCAGGGAGGTTTTCCTGTAACTGGACTCTTGTGGTCGGTGGCGTTCCCGAAGTCTTCTCTCGTCCTCCTCTCTCCAGCTGTGCCCCCAGAAGCTGCTCATCCATTTGGCAAAAGATACATCTTCATCATCGTCATCTTTGTGCTCCATGCAAAAGTGATTCTGAATATTGAAAGCCTGTCCCTATAGCCACCAGGGCTGGCTGGCTGAAACCCCAAATCTCCTCCAAAAAACAAAAATGAAACTGGTAGGTTTAAATGGTCTCTGATAATGGCATCATCCTAAGGAGAAAGATTTACTAAACAACCACTTCATCATCAGGCAGCCTTGGAGCCTTGGGCAATGTCTATTTATAAACTGTGCAGCCCACACTCCCCTCCCCCTTGTCTTTTTAAATTGAGAGGCTTTTTAATCCTCCCATTGCTGGAGCTTGTGCCTTGCAGCCTAAGGGTAGGAAGCACAGTCCACTGCCTGATTTTCCCTGTGCTTTGCTGCCAGTGGCATGTGATGGCATCTCCAGATGTCAATGGTGATGAAGCATGACCCTCACAATATGCCTGTCAGCTCCAGGCTGCCTCTGAAATGGGGCCACATTCAACAGACACAACTGCAGCTAGCAAGGTAGCAAGTTATTGCCATGTCATAGGACAGCTAGACAGTCTCCTCCTAGACCAAGCAGATACTGATAGAAAATCCAGCTCCTGGGTTAAACTGAATAGTATTTTATTGAAACATTGCCTAGCTATGCAAATATAATGTACATCTTAGATGTATCAATCTGAAGTGAATGGCTTAATGAAGTTTTATATACGTATACACCTGTTTCCTGTTTGTAGAAATAAGTGAGCATGGAATGTTTCAGGCTGCCTCTATCCCCTTTCAATCTATATTCCTTTCAAAAGATTGCTACCTCTTACCTCTGTCCCTTGAGGTTAATTTTGTCTATATTCAGAGTTTTCTTCAATGGCAACTGACTAATAGGCTTATTAGCTTATTGCTTTGTTTCCCTCCATCTAGTTTTCTTTCTGATAGTGCTTGGTAACTATGATTTAGGAAGGCCTGTTGCAACTCCCTAATGGGCTTTGTTGAGTACAAAACCAAAAATAAGCCCTGTCAAGAAATAAAAGAGATTGTTAAAGCTAAGATGTATTACCTGAAGCAAGTAGGAGACAATGCAAGTTATTTCTTTCTTTCTTTCTTTTTTTTTTTTTTTTGATCAGTCGTGGGGCTTGAACTCTGGGCTTGGGCGCTGTCTTTGTGCTCTTCAGCTCAAGGCAAGTGCTCTACCACTTGAGACACAGCGCCACTTCCAGTTTTCTAGCGGTTTATTGGAGATAAGAGTCTCACAGACTTTCCTGCCCAGGCTGGCTTTGAACCTTGATCCTCAGATCTCAGCCTCCTGAGTAGCTAGGATTACAGGCGTGAGCCACTAGCGCCCAGCTTATGGAAGTTATTTCTAATGCAATGCTCTCCTAAGCAAAGGACACATGAGAATTTTATTCAGGGAGCCTGTACCCATTCATCTAAGAAAGCACTGTCAGGGTAGGTACACTCTTGAACATGTGCAATTAAAAGTGTTTATTCTCATGGATGCTCAGTTTAAGATCATAGTTCAAGAAGGAATAATGACACACACACATTATTGTCATGTTTAGCTGAAGATGGAGGAGCATGTGTTCAAAGGTTAACATGGAAGACAGTAACACTTTTGAGCACGTTCAACTTATGCACACGGGGCATACAAACGCTGTGGAGCATGTCCAGTTTTTGCCAAAAAGTTTTAACCAATAAAACAAAACAAGTTTAGGATCCTTTAAAGGTAGATTCATATAGATTGTTTTTCCAAAAGTTGACTGTCTTTGAGACCAGCAAATTCCTCCTCTGAGACATTTTACTCCTCATTCTTGAGCAGTTCAGGGATGCTGACCACACATCTCTGCTTGGCTCTTATTTACTCCCCTGAGACTGGAGGCCCTTGAAAACACACTCTTTGATTCCTCCATCAGGCTACAATAAATACCCCATGAATCTCAGCAAGGGGACCCTGTGAAGAATGTGTAGGACTTTTAGTACAATCAAACAAAGTAATCTAGAATATAGGAAGCAAGAAGAGAGAAAAAAAGTAGAGTTGGATTCTTTTTCTTTTTCTTTTCTTTAATATAGCTTTGGGGAAACTAAGGAATGTTTTATGAAACACACCAGAGGCTTCAGCAAAGAGAGTTGGTATGTGAATAGGGAGCTGGCAATGTAGCCTGCAACATTCGCTGTTCTCTAGAAAATGGAGCTATCGATGGTGTTTGTCTCTTGGACATGCCACACCAACTTTAGGGAAACATTCTGATTTATATCCTCTGCATTATTCTTTATCTCCCAAGTTTTGGCAACTGCTAGAACATGAAGGAACATATTACTACATCTCTGTAGTTACAGAGACAGCATATAGACAACCCAGGATTCTTTCTTCATTTTAGAGGAATTCACCAGCAAATAAAACTATGAGAGAAATAGACACTTTATGGGCATTTTAATATAGGAAAGTGTTACCCTTTGAAAATGAAATATTCATAAGAGGCTCATATATGGAATATGTAGTTCCTAGATGGTATTGTTATTTGGAGAGAGGGTGGAGATATTCTTGGTGAGGCTTAATTGGAGGAAATAAGTCACTGGGCACATGGCTTTGAAACTTAAACCTTGTCATTAGATAAAAAGCCTCCTCATCCATATGCTCCCTTCATATCCGGCACCAATAATAGAGTCAACTGACCATGGGTTGAAGTCCATGGGCTGTGAATCAAAGCAAATCCTTTTCCCATCTAAGTCAACTTACCATGTAGTCTGTCTAGCACTGAGCAACTAGCATAAAAGGAAAAATGTTCCTTGTCATGCTTCTTTCCAATTTAAAACTGTGTTTATGGGACAAAGGTATCATTATTACCATCAGCAGCAAGTCCTTGAAAAACATCTTCATCAGCATCTAGAAGCCAAACTTACTGTTGTTATAGTAACTCATTCTTTGTTTGCCTGAAAAAGAGAAGATAATCACCATAGAAGACATAAATCATACCATTAACAAAAACATCGTTATTATGAATTGTTATAGTAAGCAGGAGAATTAGTGGAATAATAAGTCAAAAATTTTTCAAAATGAGTGTTTTAGATTATGACCTAAATAAGATGGCAGAGAGAATAAAGGAAGGAAATGTGTACATAAGTTAAACTGATGAATAGGAAACTCAACTTTCTGAATGTGACCTCACAAGTTCTTTCATAGAACTTTATCTCACCTCTAAAGATACAGAGTCAAATGGTTGGATGCAAAAATAGGGATGGGTTATTTTTAAACACTAAAGCCCACAATAATTAACACAACTGATTAGATGTATTTTTCTCGCTACTACAATTATCTGTAGGTGCATTTCAATCAAAAAACATGTCTATTTAATTGTCTACCTTTACAGGATAATCTTTCTATAAATTCTACATTGGTTCAAATCATGGTTATCAACTTGAAATTTGCATTCCCTTGTCAAAAGACCTTGAGTAATAATAATAACTTCTATATAATACCTTCAAAAGATCTTGAGTAATAATAATAACTTCTATATAATACCTTCAAAAGCAATGAAAGAAATGGAACCATGCTGCTTGTTAATCAATGAGTAAAAACTAGTAAGTGAATATTGGTGCTTTATAACTCTGACCAATACTCAGTCCCTATCATAGGCAAATTCTGAGGTTTACTTCTTGTTCTCAGATATTAGCCATTACCAAGTTATGACATCAGAAGTGTAAACTGAGTTTAGTTTTCAGAAAGACAAGCTAGGTTCCAGTGAATATACCTATAATCCTAGCTAGTCAACAAGAATGTTGAGAGCAAACAAGTAAATAAACAAAGAAACTTGTTCATTGAAAGACATCCTGGAATATTTAACATAATAATAATCATTGCAATTGTCCTAAAACAGACATTGGGCAAGAAGCCTATTATTATTACCACTATTATTATAATCGTTATTATTTGAGCCTCTCTGTCGAATGGTCATAAGCAACCTAAACAATGGCCAAACAATATTATGAAATAAGAACTAGGATTTAAAATGTCTTTCTTTTTCCTTATCATTTTATTTATTTATTTATTTGTTGGACATGAGGGCTGAACTCTGGGCCTGGGCGCTGTCCCTCAGCTCTTCAGCTCAGGGCTAGCACCCTACCACTTGAGCCACAGCACCATTTCTGGCTTTTTTCTGCTTACGTGGTGCTGAGGAATTGAACCCAGGGCCTCATGCAGGCAAAGCAAGCACTCTACCACTGAGCAAACTTTTTTTTTAAACATCTTGGGTTTTACTTCATATTCAGTCTTTGTGAGTATGTGAATTTCTGTCCAATCACTTTAGTAACAAAAGTGACATTCTTAGCACTTTTCTTATTGATATCAGATGGTAGAAATGTTGTGATGTTATCTAATTTTTTTAAAGCTTATGTTATACAACTCTGTCTAATCCCTTTGTAAGTAACTTTAGGTAAGGTAAATAAAACTAAAACTTTTTTTTTGTAAAGAATGCAGTACATACAAGCCAGGGTTTTCTCAGCCTTAATTACCTGTCAGAATAGGTAAGATCTGACCTAACCCAAAGGGTAGCTGAAGATAATTAATTGTTTGTCACAAAGTCTGTGAGGAGATAGGAACAGAAACAAAGAGTGAAGTAATGAGAAATTTGTGTAACTGTTTCATGTCATTGATAATTAAAAATAATTTAAAATTGTCTTATTTTACATATTTTGATTTCACTTTTCTAAGAACTTGTTTTCATTGTATTTTACAAAATGACTGGTCTGTGATGGATTGGAAAAAATTAAACTGGCTTTTCAGCCCTGATAGTTTGGAAAACACTGGCCTAGAAAACATTGCCAGGTACCGGTTACCCCAGGGCTCTAAACTAGAAATATTTAATCTATATCTAATCTATATCATCTCTACTTTGGGGAGTGTAGACATGCATCAAGGACTCAGCTTTTTCCAAGATGTCAGCATTATTTCAAAAATCAAACCAATACCATCGGCTATTCACAGTTGAGAAAGTCAGAAACAATATGTAATCAATAGACAAACAATGTCTCATTCAATAGCAGTTCCTGCTCTATACAAGATATCTGGCCAGATATTTTTCAGGTGTTATTCATATGTAATAGAAAACACCATTGTGAAAGTTTACACAGTTTGGATGAAGCAGAGCTAAGAGTCGCTGTCTTTACCAGATTCCAGAATTCTTTCTTCCCGTTTGTATGATTGGCAGCCACCTGTATATCTTGACTTTATCCTCACCTCACTCATACCCTGCCTATCTGTGATTAACGAGTCAGGGAAGTACAAAAGTTTCTGTTGCTGTCAGTGGAAAGAAGCCAAGAAGTTGTAGGTTTGGTTCAGCAGCTAGCAGGGACCATTAAGGTTGCAGCTCTGTAGTAGACAGGCCTGTTTTGCGTGGCAGGGCAGATAATGCCTGCTTGTGTTGCACCATAAATGCCAGTGTTGCCCGAGTCTCCTTGGGTTTGTGTCTCAGGAGTTGGAGGAATGAAATCCAGGAAAATGGAAGATGAGTGTGAAGATCTTTCTTTATTCAGAAGAGAAATAGCTAGCTGGAAGGTTGCCACTGCTCTGTCAGTCAGCTAACCTTTTTTTCAAATGGCTCTTTGTCTCTATTTCTGTCTCTCTCCGTCTGTGTAGCTAGCTGTCTAGAGGGTCTTATGTACTGGGCTGTGTGCTGATTGGTTGCTCCTATTATAATTAGGTATTTTGGAAGGTAACCTTCCAACGTTCTGGTTGGTTTGCAGGTGTCTTCTCCTCAGGAGAGAAGGGGCAGTAGAGGGGCAAAGGCAAGATGTTCTGATATAATGTTTCCATTGTGTCTGCTTTGGGGCTGGATAGCCTGAGCTGCTCTCCTGGGGGCCTGGGGCCTGACTGATCTAGTCTTTCAGTTTGGATTCTATATTGAAGAGCAGTCCCATTAATTTTTGGATCATCACTGTATAAAACACTTCACCCCCCCAGAACCATATTTCCTTCTCTATGAAATGAATACATCATAATTTATCTATTAAGGTTAGGAATTAAATATGATTTCTGAAAAAAAATAGTATGTGCAAAATACTCCACAGAGTACAGAGAAGTCTCCAACTTAACATGGTTCAACTTACAATATTATTTTACTTTCCAAGGATGCAAAAATAATATGGATTTTGCAGCAACCCATGCTTCACATTTTAAAGATGTAGTATTTTCTAGAGCTATCAGTATACACCAGGGTGTTCCGCAGCAGCAAATTCAGTTTGCCACATGATGGTGAACACAATGGGTTGTTGTTGTTTTTTTAAATAAACACTCCTAGCTTGCCACATGATGATGAAAACTATGATGTTGGCTATTAGATAAATGCTTTCCAATTACAGTAGTTGATATTTAACAAATGCTTATTCATTAGCAAGTATTGTTACCTATTATTATCTATTATTACCTATAATTATTTGATAATATGGAAACAACAGTCAACCCACAAAGTTTGATGATTGAATGAAATATATTGAACTTGCTTAACACATTAAAAAAACAACCTACAGTGTAGTAAAAAGCTAAGTGTCACTATCAGATTCTAGAATTCTTTCTTCCAGCTTGTGTGATTGGTAGTATCTGCATACCCCCACTTCAGTCTCACCTCACTCATACCCAGCCTATCAGCGAAGAGCTAATTGTTCTACAGAGATACCAGGCTTTTTACAAGGACACAAGAGTCCCAAACAGACTGTGACAATTCCAACACCAAGCACTTTTCCCAGCTTCTAGCTTTACTTGCAGAGGTACAAAGTCCTCACACCTCCATTCCCCATAGATATAATATTATGCATATATATATATATATGCTCTAGACTATCATTTGCTAAACGAAAATATCCAATTGTCATTTTACAGAGATATCTAAATATTGTTTATGATTATAGCCACGTTACTCCTGGATCATGTCAGAATGGCTCTCCATGATCCCTGTGTGACTCAGCTGTTACCTCCCACCACGTGATCATGTTCATATTTCTGGCCTAATAAATTTCTTATCACTTTTACTGAGTTTGCATCTTGCCTGAATTCATCTCATGCTTGATGCAAGAACTAAGATAAGTTAGCTGTGATGACTATCTCGTAATGCATAGACTTCATTTAAAGAACCAGGTGTAACGTGCTAGAAGGACAGACCATGTGAACTTGTTTGGAGTTAGCCAACAGCCTGCATCCATGCTCACAGGTGAATGAGGTGTTCTGGATTTTATCACAGCATCCACACCACAGACATTTGAGAGAACTAGACGAAATCTAATTTTTTTAGGTAAGCCAATGAAA